GCCTATTTGTTCATGACAGACAATCATTGTCCAAATTTCTCGTGGACACTGGAGCTGATTTTTGTGTGATTCCAGCTACCGTTAAGGATAAAAATCACCCACAGAAACTTGAACTTGTTGCTGCTAATAGTACAAAAATTAAAACTTATGGCCAAAGACAGCTTATGATTGATTTAGGACTAAACAAGCTTTTCAAATGGAATTTTATAGTAGCCGATGTTAACAAACCTATATTGGGTATGGATTTTTATCACATTTTAATCTTATTATCGATGCCAAGAAAAACAGGCTCATTGATGGTGAACTTCGAAACATTCCCCAGAAAATGTCTTCAAACCGTAACCCTTCAGTCTTCTCTTTCAATACAAGTAATCCATTCAATTCCTTATTGGCACAATTTCCTGATTTATGAAGACCTAGTCCTATAAACAAAAAGATTGTTGAACATAAAGTCAAACATTTTATTGAAACTACAGGTCCTCCAGTCACAGCCCGACCCCGTCGCTTACCTCCAGATTAACTCCAAGCTGCAAAACATGAATTCCAGTTCATGTTGCAAGAAGGACTATGTCGACCTTCTAGCAGTTGCTGGGCAAGTCCTCTTCATCTCCTTCAAAAGAAAAATGGAGACTGGAGACCATGTGGCGATTACAGAAAATTAAATCAAGCTACAATTCCTGATAAGTATCCTTTGCCATTTCTAACAGATTGCACAAATTGTTTACATGGCACAAACATATTTTCCAGAATTGATTTAGTCCGAGCATACCAACAGATACCTGTCCGTCAAGAAGACATTGAAAAAACAGCTATCACCACTCCATTTGGATTATTTGAGTTCCCATATATGACATTTGGCTTACGAAATGCCGCTCAAACATTCCAAAGGTTCATGAATCAGGTACTATTAGGTTTAGATTTTGTATTTTGTTATCTTGATGACGTTTTAATTGCATCAAAGGATGAATCAGAGCACAAAATTCACCTTATGATACTTTTCAAAAGACTCGATCACTATGGTCTATGCATCAATGTTGAAAAATGTTTTTTTGGCGTCAAGTCTTTGGAATTTCTAGGCCATGAAGTCAGTGTTAGCGGTCTAAAACCACTCCAAGCAAAGGTTAAGTCAATAGTAGATTTTCCTGTCCCTACTTCAGCATCTGCATTAAGGAGATTTTTAGGCATGGTCAACTTTTACAACCGTTTCATTCCTCACTGTGCACAACTCCAAAAACCATTGAATCAGATATTAAATGGTCACAAGAAGAACAGTTCTAAACCTTTAGCTTGGTGTGAGGAGGCTTAAAAAAGTGTTGATAATTTAAAAAACGCCTTATGCAAAGAAACAATGTTGGCTCATCCTGATCCAAATGCCAATTTGACATTAATAACAGATGCCTCTGATACTTCAATCGGCGCAGTCCTTCATCAAGAGATCAATGGTGTTAAGACTCCATTATGTTTCTTCTCAAGATCTCTCACTAACTGTCAGACTAAATACAGTGCTTATGACCGAGAACTGCTAGCAATTTACAGTGCAATAAAACACTTTAGATACATTCTCGAAGGACGAAACTTTACGGTTTTTACAGATCACAAACCTTTAATATTTGCATTTAAACAGGACTTAAACAAAACTTCACCACGTTGTTATGTATGCTGAAATACTGTTCTGTAATTTAATTCAATCAGATGTTTTCATAAAAACAATGTTTGTTTACTTGTTACTTTTGTTATAAATGTTTGACAATAAAAGATTCTTCATTCATATATTTTATTCTATTTTAAATGTAATAACGTTACATAATGGCGCTGCACGGACATGAGGAATATGACAATGACGACACATCATCTACATTAACAGTGGAACAACCTACTACACATAGTTTAACTCATTTCAAGTTCGAGAAGTTTGATGCTACCAAAGAAACATGGAAGTACTACTACCAAAGGTTTGAGTTGGAAATAATTGTTTGTGGATTACAACACAATCAAGAAGCTAAAAGAATTTTACTTCTGAAATGGGTTGGTGCTGAACATTATAGAATTGTGGTTGATAACTTTTATCCAACACCTATTTTAACAGTAGACTACGAGGAAATTGTTGAGTTTATTTCGAATTTCTATAAACCAAAAACATCCTATTTGGCCGAAAGACTAAAATTTGGAAAAATCGTGAAGAACAAAGATCAATCTATACGCATATTTGTAAACAATTTGAGAGCTGGTGCAACGGAATGTGAGTTTAAAGATACACTTGACGAAAGACTGCGAGACCAGTTCTTATTGGGCTTAAATGATCCTAAAATGCAAGAAGAGCTCATCAGAAAACATCCTGAGGAAAAAGCAAGACTTGTCGACATCGTTAAAGACGCCTACCTCATGGAAATGGCACATTCTCAACAACAACAAATAGAAACACTTGGGACATTTTCATGTGACGCACAGGTAAATAAGGTAGGGGCTACACGAACTACTAACAAAAGGGACAGTACTAGAATCAACTTGAATCCTGAGTCACAGTGTTTGAGGTGTGGGTTAGCAAAACATAAAACAGGTGAGTATTGCAAGTTGCAAGGCAATGAATATTCAATGTAGAGCTTGTGGGAAAATGGGGCATTTTGAACGAGTTTGTCTGAACTCCAATAATGTCGTCATTGAGAAAAATCTTTCAAGACGTTATGTCAAACAAATTGATAAGTTTGCTGGAATGAGTGACTATAGTGGAAATGTAGACTTTTTCCATCAAAATAATGACGGATGTCCTGACATATCTGATGAGCTAGGAGCTGAGCTTCCCGGTTTGGTAAAGAACATAAGTCAAATTAATAATGTAGAGAAATTTTGTTACGTTGTTCATTTAACAATAAATAGGGTTCCAATAACGATGGAATATGACACTGCTGCTGCAAGAACTATAATTAGTAAATCTACGTGAAAACAAATTGGTGAACCGGCACTGACTCCTACGGAGGAGCTGGGTGCTTATCCGTCATTTAGGATACCTATGCTCGGCGAGACTAAGGTCGCTGTTTCGTTAGGTTCAACTACTTTGCAATTAAGTGTTGCTGTCACTGACAGTGTTTCAGGGACACCTTTGTTTGGTAAAGATTGGATTGTAGCATTTAATCTAGATCCTAACTGTGAACATGTATGTAAGCAAAATTCTTATAGCGTCAATCATATTAACACGGACATTATAGACAAAGAGGGGGAGAAACGTAAGATATATAAAGAATTCAAATACATAATTACCAATAACCTAGGAACAGTGAAAAATTTCAAAGCTAAGGTTATAGTAGCTAATGATGTACAATTGCCAATACACAAACCGAGACCTGTTCCGTTCGCATTACACAGTGCAACTAGCAAGGAACTAGATCGTTTAGTGTCCTCAGGGGTCTTAGAACCTGTGGATCCGGCTACGACTCCGATCCTTTGTGCTTCTCCTTTAGTTGTTGTACCGAAGTCTAATGGTGAGGTACGATTATGTGCAGATTTCAAGGTATCAATCAACCCTCATTTAATCGATGACGAATACTGCATCCCTACGTTTGAAGAAACAGTGCTTAAGTTGAATGGTTCAAAATTCTTTTCAGTTATTGATTTGAAGGATGCGTATCTACAGATTCCAGTGGACGAAGAATCAAAAAAATATCTAGTGGTAGCGACACATAAAGGACATTTTACCTTCAATTGATTACCTTTTGGCATTAAGACTGCACCTAAGATTTTTCAAAAGCTGATGGACCAATTATTAGTTGGTACCGATGATTGTGCGTGGTATTTTGACGACATATGTGTGGGCGGTAGAAGTGGACCAGAACACATTGATAGGCTCAAAACAGTTTTAAATATATTGAGGAGAGCAGGACTATGCACGCGTGAAGATAAACTAAAGCTTTTCAAACAAAGTGTGACTTATCTTGGGCACAAAATTAGTGCTCTGGGTATTCAGCCTGTTGAAGATCGTGTAGAAGCTATCAAGAAACAACCCCCACCAAAGAACGTTTCTGAGCTTAGATCATTTCTTGGATCTGTGAATTACTATTCAAGATTTATTCCAAATTTGCAATCTCTTTGTTTTCCTTTACACAGTCTTTTGCACAAGAACTCAACTTGGGCCTGGAATAGTGACTGTGAGGACGCATTCAACCATATTAAGAGCAACATTTCAAACAATATGGTACTTGTACATTATGATCCTAAACTTCCACTTATCCTTGCAACAGATGCTTGCAATATTGGATTAGGAGCAGTTCTCCTTCATCGTTGTCCTGATGGCAGTCAGAAACCAATTGCAGCCGCTTCAAGAACATTAAATTCAGCAGAACAGAACTATTCTTCTATAGATAAGGAAGCACTGGCCATTATCTTTGGTGTTGAGAAATTCTACAAATATCTCTATGGTAGACATTTCACTCTTTTGTGTGATCATAAACCACTTGAACGAATCTTTGGGGCAAAGCAGCCTATACCTAAACATGCCGCTTCCAGACTTGCAAGATGGGCTATTATCCTCAGTGGATACGACTACGATATAAACTACAGGGCTGGAAAAGATAATGTTCTGGCAGATTGTCTAAGTAGATTACCTTTAGAAGGAGGAACAAATATTGATACGTATCAGACGCTTGGTGAAGTAAACCAAGTAAGATCTATGAGAATTGAAGATTTGCCACTTACAAAACGTGCGATTCAAGATAACACTCACAGAGATGATGAACTGAAACACATTATATCCTATTGTGTCAGGCATAGTTGGGAAAGTTAGTCAAAAATTCTAACTAGTTAGAAGTTATAAGTTAGTCCCGTAAAAAGTAACTGATAGAAGTTATAAGTTAGTTAGTTTAAAAAGTAACTGATGAGCCGACCCCTCGCACCGCCCCCAGACGAACAACCATTGGAAACGTGCCCCCCATAGTGACAGTGCGAGTGGCCGCCCCACATCCCTAACAAAAGTGAAAGACCGTGGGTGAATATCAAAAACAAAAACAAAATTGTGAACAAATGCCTATAATATCTCAAAAACAACAAAGTAACAATAATCAACAATCAAATTTACCCATCCAAAGAATTTCTTTTAAATAAACTCTTTTCTCAAAAAAATTAAATAAATAAGAATTTTAAGTTTACCCTTCTAAACCTTACATAACTGGTACCAGTAGCAAAAATTAGGCCTAACAGTGAAATAAATTAAAAGATGGTAACTGTAAAAATTTTTATGGAATCTTACTCTTTAAATAAATAAATAAATAACTTTCAAATTAATAAATAACAATTAGCTTAAAAATAAATAACAATAATAAATAATTTGGGGGCCCCTTTTAATATCAAGTCCTTCGAAAAATGTTTATAACAATAAAACTTGCGTTCTGATGGCACAATAACTCCTTTGGTGGTAGGCGGTGGTGGCTTGAAGAGGTAGTGTGTCCTACTGGTCCCAGGAGCAGGGTGACTGGCAGCCCGAAGAGGGAGAAGGTGGAAGGTCTCCCCGGGCGGCCCTCTCCGGAAGCAGCAGGAAAAAGCCTCCCATCTGGGACCCTTTGAACAGATTCCAGGCCTAACTAATAAAAGTTCATTTCTTAGGCTTCATATGACTGCAGTGTTAGGCCTATCCAGGTTTTCAAGCAATAAATTCAAAAACAATTTCCGCACCACTCATTCACTGACCAAAACTATTGAAGAAGTAATTTGTTAAATAATATATATATATATATTTTTTTTATATAGGCTTTCCTTTGTAAAACAGTCTTTAAAATTAGAAAATGTAAAATGACTAGAAATAATTTAATTCAGTTCAATAGAGCTCTAAAACATAACAATAAATAGACTTTTAAATTTTACAAACTTTAACAACACATTCTTACAGACATTTTTTCATAAAAATTTAAGTTGACAATAAAAAATATGAATTTAGGGTCCAGAAGGGTAATATACACTAGTAAAACACAAAACAATTACATAAATACTACAATAAATACTTCAAAAAACAGTTTACACAAAAAATTAAAAATTCTTTGGCTGGAGGTGCATTTTCAGGTAAAACCGGTAATAACTCCGGTTATTACCAACCAAATTTGCTCAAATTGCTTTTAAAAGTTGTGGCACAAGTGCCCGCAGCTTTTAAAAGACAAACCCATGCCTACCAACTAGCCTGAGGCCAGGTAGGGGGTCAGTTACCTACGGTCACTCAGAATACAGAATTGCGCTAAACTAAAACTTGAATAACTCGGTCATTTATTATCCAAACTTAATGAAAATTGCAGGGGACATGTAAGAGTACTAAAACTAACTAATTATGACCGAGCTTGGCCCCCAGGAGGCGCCATTACTTAACTAAAAAAAAATTAGGCTGAGTGACATGGCCTACATTACAAATAACAAAAAAAAACACTATTACAGGGGACAAAGGGACAAAAATTTACATTAAACAAGTTGTAGGCCACAATAACAAAACAAAATTTGAGCACAAACTAGGCCTTAGGCCTAATAAAGTTAACAGGGACAAAGAACAAACGGACCATAGCCCGCACAAAAGTGAGTTTCAAAGTGAGTTTTCTTGGGTGATATCTGGCCTAGAGTCTCGGGGAAAGCTTTGAAAACTTGACAACAAAGAAAACTACAAAACTAACCAGAAAAACTTGTGGTCTGACCACACAAAACTTGGCCAAAGGCCCAACAAAACTCTGTTCAATTCCAGCCTCAGAAATGGGTCTAGCGCCTTGAAAAACAAGTAATTGGTAACTAAAAGTAATACCAATGCACAGAAGGTGCTTAATACTTGTTTTTCACTAGCCAAAACCCACTCAAAGTCTGCACAACATGTGGCCGAAAGCCAAAACTAAATCAGAAACTTTCTAACCTAAACAAATCAAAATATCAATCAACTTACTCATCTGACGACTGGCAATCCGTTTAATTACATGTTACAAGAAATTGGTTAGTATGAAGCACAGTAAAAATGTGACTAGATGTTAACTGATATAAAAATAACATTACAAACACAAAACTTGACATGAAACGATGACAGTCGCTGTTCTTCTGGCAAAAATGTGCTCGACAGCGGAAAAATTGCCCCGGGGTCTGCAGGACTGCTGCCAGACCCAAACCGATTGAGTTCCGGCGCAAAGCCAGTACTCGCACTATAAAAAAAACTGAGGCGTGACATTGGTGGGACGCTTGGTGGACATGTCACGGCTCACTGATAGAAGTTATTAGTTAGTTGAAAAACTAACTGATAGAAAATAAAGTTAGTTTTAGTAGAAATTAGTTGTTTGTTGGGCAGTTGTTTTAAAGTATTTTTTAATGTCACATCTTGGTTACTAATATATACTATAATATGAGTAAAGATTGCACAAGATATGATTTAAAAAATGGCTCCTACGATTTCCTCCAATTTCAATGCTATTGAAAATTGCTTGTATAATACATTTGCATTGTATGATGTCTTACTAACCAAAGGGATAATTACGACTGTTCAAAAACATTAAGTGTTTTACTGCAAAACAATATACACTGACATTGAACTAAAAATCTAAAGGAAAGGCCAAGGAGATTTGTATTTTTCGACGATGCACCGCACAAATTGATGCGTTATTACACCATCCCGTAATTATAGTTGCAACGTTCCACGATCCCAGTGACTTAATGCAATAACGGTCGTCAGATAACAGATGTTATGTATCATGAGTTTTATATTGATTGAAGCTCATTGTGGACATTTTATAGATTGATCGTCCAAATTAAAAAGTTTTGTAGACTAAATTGAGGATAAGTGGATGTCTAACAAAAACGAATTGACTTTACTACTTAATTAATCGTAGTAAGACTGAAAATATTTGTAGGCTTATAAGCTCTATTTTTTACCTCTTGAACAAATCAAACACCTCGAGCACGATCGGTCCCCTGGTACTTGTGTTTTAATAAAACATTGTCACATTTTACATTACTACAACATAAACAAATGACCTAAAACTTGTCAGATAATGAACATCAACTAAAGACAATGTTTTGACACTTGAGATGATATATCAATCACCAAACAAACATTTCCCCTTCCCACCCATCAGTTCTTGGGGTGTTGATAATGGCCGTCACTACCCTTCCACAGGCCCACTGCATTCCAAAGCAACTGGACTTTGACTTTCTCTTGCCCCACCCCCCGCGTTGTTTGTCTACAAGGGCACTGACCTCTCACGGCCGCACGCAACCCTCACTGATCACGTGAAATAAATAACCAGTATTTGAGATGCTTCCGCATAATTGGGAAAGTTAGTTGAAAATTCTAACTAGTTAGAAGTTATTAGTTAGTCCCGTAAAAAGTAACTGATAGAAGTTATTAGTTAGTTAATTTAAAAACAAACGAATAAAATAGAAGTTAGCCAAAAAAACTAATGAATAGTGCTATTCGATAGAATTTCTATTCGTTATTCCCAAGTATGGTGTCAGGGGATGGCCCGATCGAAGTTCAATTCCGGACAATTTGAAGATATTCTATGACAAGAGACATGAACTATCTTATGAAGAGGGGATTTTATTGTGGCAAGAAAGAATATTAATTCCCAAGTCCCTTAGAGGAGACGTTCTTAGTTATCTCCACGTTTCACACCCAGGAATAGTTGCCATGCGCTCTTTGGCGAAGTTGTATGTGTACTGGCCAAAAATAGATGATGACATTGAAAACTTGGTGAAAACTTGTACAAGATGCCAAACATTCAGGAAAAATGATGTGGAAACGCCACTCAATTCATGGAATATACCGGAAAATGCTTGGGAAAGATTACATATTGATTTCAAAGGACCTTTTGACGGATACATGTGGTTAGTGGTAATAGACGCATATTCTCGATGGTTGGAAATATTTCCAATGAAAAACGCTACAAGCAACACTGTGATAAGACGACTTCGTGAACTTTTCTGTAGATATGGACTTGTGAAACAAATTGTTACTGACAATGGAAATCAGTTTGTCTCAGAAGAATTTAGAGAGTTTTGCCGCAATAATAACGTGATTCACATCAGAACCACTCCTTACCACAGTCGTTCCAATGGTTGTGTTGAACGAGTAATTCAGACGTTTCAAAACAAGTATCTCATGATTGACATAAATGATCACGAACAAAGACTCCATACACTTTTGTTCTCATACAGGACAACTCCACATTCATCGACTGGACGGACACCAGCTGAACTTTTCCTGAAAAGAAACCCAAGAACTTTGATTGACACCCTAAGACCGGACGTGAAGGAAAAGATGAAACAGTCGTCAGAACGCCAAAAGTTTTATCATGATATCCACTCTAAACGTAAAGACTTTAATGCAGGTGATAAAGTTTGGGTGAAACGGAATCCAAATGAAAATTGGAGAGAAGGGGTAGTGTTAAGGAAAACAGCACCATTGTCATACAGAGTGAACATTGATGACAAAGAACACAGGCAGCATGCCGACCATTTAAGAACACGTCAACAAATACAGCCTGCACAACAATCTGTAACACAACAAACTTCAACACGCCAACAAATACGGCCTTTACAACTATCTTTTCAACAACAACTAACTTCACCTTCATCTGGTACTACAAACCAGAGAAAATCAAGTCGGAATATAAGAAAGCCAATGTATTACCATAATGAATATTAGTCCTCCAGGCATTTAAAGAAGGAAGGGGGAAATGTTATGTATGCTGAAATACTGTTCTGTAATTTAATTCAATCAGATGTTTTCATAAAAACAATGTTTGTTTACTTGTTACTTTTGTTATAAATGTTTGACAATAAAAGATTCTTCATTCATATATTTTATTCTATTTTAAATGTAATAATAAATTTTAATAATGTCAAACTAGACAACTGAACTTTGAATTCACAACAGATATTCGATACATTTTGGGTAATGACAATATCGTTGCAGATACCTTGTCCCGAATAGAGTCCATTACATTTCCTTGCCCTGTAGTCTATAAAACTCTGGCGGACAGTCAAAAAGACGATCCTGAGTTGTTGGATCTAAAGCAAAATTCTAGCTTGAAAATAGTTAAAGTTCAACTTCCAAATTCATCTACAGAGCTATACTGTGATGTATCTCCAAAATTTACTCGCCCTTACATCCCTTTTCCTTATAGAAAATCAATATTCTCCGCTATACATTCTCTGTCCCACCCGGGAGTAAGAAGCACAACTAAGTTGGTGACTCAAAGGTTTATATGGCCAAATATAAAAAGAGATTGTAAGCTGTGGACTCAAACTTGCGTGGACTGTCAAAAAACAAAAACCCAACGACATACTAAATCACCTCTTACAAACTTCCTCATTCCGGATCAACGGTTTAAGTCAATCAACATTGACATCGTGGGCCCATTGCCTTTGTGCAAAGGATTTCGATCGGTTCTCTCGTTGGTTAGAAGCTGTTCCTATTGAAGATCAATCTGCTGATACTGTGGCTAAGGCATTGGTAAACACTTGGTTTTCTCGTTTTGGTATACCTTCTCAAATAACTACTGACCAAGGAAGACAGTTTAAAAGTCAACTTTCTCAATCCCTAGGAAAGTACTTTGGATTTAAACATGCTAGTACCTCAGCTTATCATCCTCAATTAAATGGATTAATTGATAGACAACAGAAGACAATGAAAACAGCACTAAAATGTCATCTTCTGCAACATAAATCATGGGTATGCGTACAGCACTAAAAGACGACTTACAATGCTCTGCTGCTGAACTGGTTTATGGATCACCTCTAACACTCCCTGGTGTTTTCTTTAATGAAGATACAAGCAAATGCATTAGTCAGCAAGAGTTTATGCTCAACCTTAAAAGTGTGATTAGAAAACTACAACCAAGACAAACTTTTACTCATGGTTCGCCTAAGACTTTTGTTCCACAAGAACTATTTACTGTTTCTCATGTGTTTCTCCGGCAAGATATGTTGTTTGGTTCACTTAACCCTAATTTTTCAGGATCCCACAAGGTGTTGACTAGAAATCCTACTAATATTATAAATGAGAAAGTTTGGATGTATGGATGTTTGGATGTATGGATGTATGTTTGTGACAAGTGAACGCGAAAAATACTGGTCGGATTGGGCTGAAATTTGGCATGATGATAGCTCACATTCCTGATTAACATATAGGCATATTCTTATTTCAAAAATCCTTTCGGGCTCCGCCCCAGTGGCTCTGGAGTTTCCCATGTTAACCTAATGAGAAATGGAATTATTGAATCTTAACAGCTGTTTCAATTAAACAAGTTGGTTCTGTTCTATGATGTTCAATAGCATTAAAGTTACAAGGATTACCAACAGGGTGCAGCACTATTATTTCTTTTACATTTATGACAACAGCTAATTTGCAACCAAAAGGTGAGTGAGCGTAGCGAACGAACTTCAACCTGGAGGCGAGTTAGCGTAGCGAACGAGCTAACCTGAAGGCAAGTGAGCGCAGCGAACGAGCTCCAACCTAAAGGTGAGTGAGCGTGGCGAAAAAAACTTCAACCAGGACGTGATTGAGCCATGCGAACGAGATAATCTTGAAAATTAAGAAGTTAAACGGGGCAAAGCCCGTGGGTTACAGCTAGTGAAAAATGTTTTGAAATTGAAGTGAACGGAAAAAAAACAAAAGTTTCAATTGACCGTTTGAAACCAGCGTTTCTTCTTGAAGACTACATTCCCGAAAAAGGCAAAGAAGAAAGAAAAATCTCAAGACAATCCAACAATAAAAATAAGTCGATCCCTACAGCAGGCAAACCGCACAAGGTTCAAAGATTGAGATTTGTTTGTGTGGTAAATAATTCCTCACTTAAAGTGAGGGACTCATTCTAGGGGGGAGTGTGTAGTGTCTACTCTTCCTTATGGTCTTTACCACCATATTAAAAGACAGTTGTTTTAACTAAATATTTAACATATGTTGGTTTTATTATTATTAATTTTTGATTTGTAAACAGTTCAGTTTTTACATTGATTTTAATACAACTATTGATTTTTATCATTTACTTTAATACGTACATAGTAAAATACTAGATGGTCTAATACATTTTTTGAGCAGTCATTGAAATATTTAGTTTGTTTTAGTGCAATATAATTTGTTATAACTAACATCTGTTTGAATAAAAAAATATTCCAAAGAACTATGAGGTTAGTTAATTTACTCTGTGATTTTGTCATTGA